TTGAAGACCGGGATCTAGGCACTGCGATTGACCGTGATCTTATAGCTCAGGATGAACAGCATCTGGAGCCTTGAAGTGTGGAAGTGATTACATCGCTTCCTGTATGAGATCAAGAAGCGAATTTGATAGAGCAGCGGTGCGCCTTCAATCGCAATCTAGGGACAGCTAATGGGCGATTTCCGACTTCTCTTGGCAGGGTCATCTACTCTCCTGAACGGATATTGAGTCGATTTAAGCCACGCTATCCTTCCCATGAACAACTGATGATGCTATCAATAAGTGATCAGCGACGGGACGGTCAGAAGGCTTACACTTTCTGGTCGAGAAGTGCTTTCTGCCTTAGGCTTCAAGCCCAGTTGTGTCCAGTCAACTCAAGCGCAGACACTGCCAAAGAGGAATTGGTCTTGTTTGGCGTTGATGTACACCCAGAAAGCAGTCACTGTTCTGCTCATGTACTGAACACTCAGCCTTGCCCCGTTTTGCTTGCTGTCGGTCTTGATTGCAGATTGCTGAAGGATGGTGGTTGCTTGGTGGAAGGTTTATTGTCGTCATGCTGGTCTTGCCCTAACTTTGGGTCTACTATGACTCCTGCCTTCTCGTCATACTTCGACGACAACACACCTCGACCTCTTCGGACAGTGTCTCCTGGACTGATCATCACCATCTCACTTCTGATGTCCTTCGTTACTTATCGAGCTTCTTTGAGACTGTCTTGAATCTACCTATACACTATCTTATCGACTCCGATCATCTTTACTACGCACGTAACGTGATAGAATCCGATACTATGTCTTATATTCCAACCTCGGATCTTCCCTTCGTTCCCTCGCAGTTTGAATCGTTTCAAACATCGTTTGACCCTCGACATCAGAGCATAAAACTTCCAGATGGAGGTGTAAGTTATTCCCGTTCCAGACTTGAGGATGTCTCATTAGTCCTTCTCGGTGCTCAGATATCTGAATCTTTTCAGTCAGTATTTACTAACTCGCCCCAGCCGACTATGGAGAGTCTTGCGTCGTCATCACACGAAGCTATGGCCCATCATCAAGCGATACACGATACGCCATCATCTCATAGCTTCAATTTACAACAAGTACAGTCACTACAGCATGTACACCATAATCATGTACATCATTTCCCTCTTGCTGGAATGGACCCTCCGTTCGCGCGCGGCCCTGCAACTGAACTCATGGTAAACCACCACACTTTCACAAACAGCATGACAAACCTCGCCAATGCCCATCCAATGAACTTCTCCCAAGGCTTCAGCTGTTTTACTTCTCCCGGGCCCGTCATCGCTCCAGTGTCAGTCCCTTTTGGTACACCGATTCATACGCCAAATCCACCAGCATCGAACATGAATTTGGAACATCAGCTATCCGCCTGGCCAGACGATAACCTTGAAACTCGCACAGTGTCACCAGTCGAGCATCATGTATATGACTTCGCATCATCGGCCGATCGGATTCCGTCCGAGTGTAAGTGACTCTTGCCCACGCTATTTGTATATATATTAACCGAATTTAGTCACATCCCAAGGCTCCATGAACCTCACGGGGGTTCACTCTCTCCCTTCAGCCGGGTCACTCCAGCATGACCGATCTCCTGGCAATGTCTCCGGGTTTACTTTTGTGATGGAGGACGGATTAAAGCCAGCCCGTCATCGCGAATCGCGAGTACAGACCAAAGAGGAATCAGACGAGAGAAGAGAGAAAAATAAGAAGCTCAAGGAAATGGGAGGTGTTTGCCTCTGGTGTTACCGCATGAAGAAAACCTGCGAACCGCAACTTCCTTGTCCTCGTTGCCAAGACAGCAAATCGAATTGCATCAGAAGACCTGCAGAGCTGTCCTTGCTTCCCTGCACGATTATAACACTTCAGGACATGAATCAAGACAGTACTTCGTTCCAAACGACGAAACCTGAAGATATCTTTCCTTGTCTGCAAAAGATATCTCGATGTGCCTCTTCCCAGGCTGTTGTCAGCTTCTGCCAATGCAACGGAGAAGTGATAGATTACTGGGTCATGCATGCGGCTGACCTGGACGCTACAAATATGGACACTTCCAGCGGTTTAAGCCAACAGCTAATTCTTATGATCCTGAAGTGCGTCCAATCTGAAGAGATGGATAAATTTGGGACGCAATTCCCTGGCAGCTCTCTTGTGCAGACTGCTGCGACCATGCACAAGCTGCTTTCGGCGATTCTATGCCTTTCCAAGACGCAGGTATATGTGCGAGCGACTGATGTAGAGCAAACAAGGATCGTGATATTCTACATGCTGGCTCTCTGCCTACGAGGACTCTGCGTGCTCTCAGGCGAGCTGGGTTCCGAAGCCTACAGCTTAATCAAACAGAAAACAGACTGCGACGGTGAGCCTGCTGGCATGAAGAACGACTGCAGCGGTGCAAACTGCTTCAACCCAGTTTGGGTCGCTGTTGGCCTTTACCAGCGAGTCCTGGAAGCCCTTTCCAGCTTTGAACTGCCACAGCCAATGGCTAGCATATTCGCTGGGGTTAAAATTCGCTCAAACATGGTACTCTCCAACATATATTGTGTGAAGGAGAAGATCCCGCACATATTCGGGTCGAAGCTGGAGAAAGAAAAATTGGAGGCCGAGAAGAAGGCGTTCTTTGAGAAACATATCCCGCCAGTCTCCTGCCGTCAATACTTCAACGTCGCGATCTGTTCACTCCCTTTTGGTCAGAATCTGCCATCCACAGCCGTTCACAGACAAACCCATCAGTCCTCGGATGTCTCATACGACGCTGAGTTTCTTCTTAACGAGAGTTTTTGGCCTCCAAATCTTGCCGAACCTTTCCTCGAAAGCCAGCCTCAAGATCCATCGCAGATGATGAATGGTGCGAACGACTGTGAAAATTTGGAAGCAGAATTATCACAGATTTATCCCTTCGACGAAGGTCTCACCGACCTTGAGGCATTTGGAAGAACCACGCTAATGGGTGACTGTTCTATCCCTTCCCCAACCGACTCCTGGGGTGGCACGACGTTAGTTAGTTCGGCCGAATCCAGTGTGATGGTGGGAAGCTATTAGCTGTCATCTACTCGCTATTTTTTTTTGGCATGATCATTTTGCTGCCTGAATCGAATCCCGAAATCTGGGAACAAATGTATTTTGGCTTTGCTCTATGGATTTTTTGCGGGAATATCAATTGGCTATTGTATTATGAGCTCTACAAGCTTCTTGCAACGAAGCTGCCTTCCTGGGTGGATCTTGCTACAAGCTACACGATATCAAAGGACAAAGAAAGTTTTTAAACCAATACCATTGAATCTAAGTGATCGCGATTCTCTGTGCTAGTAGTAATATAAATTAGAATAATTCTCATCGGAGGTGCAATGACCATTGATACCTACTCCGTAGCATTTTGTTGTATGATCGCCCAAGGAACAACAACAAGCTCTGTCCACCGCTTCGCGTTCTCCCCGCTGCGACAGCTCCAGCGCGTTTCTCCGCAGACAAAGACGAAACAAATCCCCACAATTAGGACACCACAGCATTGTCATATTTCCTTAGCCTCAAAAATCGCTGCTAAATATCTTCCTAGTCCAGTCTCTCCTTCTACCAGCACAAGACAGTTTCTCTACCGACCCGTGTCCTGGTGACACGCTTTCGGGAACCAACACCCATCATGGCCTCATCAGCCCACCAACCGTTCGGATCGCGCTCATACGGAGGCGGCAAATTACCCGATCGATCCGTGAATGCAAATGCGATCCCCTTCAGCGCGTCGTCCTTCTCTCGGCATCGCGGGCTGGGAGCGACGGGGCCCGGCGAATTTGGCGCAGAAGGCGCCAAATCAACACAGCAGGCACCGCCGCCTCCTCCAGTGCATTCGCAGACACATGGTCCCTCGCAGGACTCGAATCCGTTGAATCGGTTGACGGAGGAGCAGAGGGAAGAGATTAATGAAGCTGTAAGGGGATCTCTTACTTCGTTCTGGCCTGTGCCTCGTTCCGGGTTCCGGCGACGGCGGTTCCAGACGAACCAAGGCATATGGGAATGTTTTTGTGGAGGATCCAAGCTAATGTGATCTGGTTGTTGATAGTTTACGCTCTTCGATCTCGACCGAGACCGGCATCTAGATTACCATGAACTCCGTGTCGCGTTCCGCGCCCTCGGCTTCACGCTTTCGAAACAAGAACTCATCTCCCTCCTTACGACCTACGGCGTCCCCCGTCCCCAAGTACAACAGCAATCTGCGGCACAGGCAGCGCAGCATCAGGCGCAGTCGAAGACGACTCCCGCTACGAACCCCCAGCACCCTTCCAACCTCCTCATGCCGCTGTCTTCCTTTCAGGCCGTGACGGCCGTTAAGATTCTGGAGCGGGATCCGCGGGACGAGATCCTCCGGGCGTTTGAACTGTTTGACGAGGGCGGGAAGGGCTACATTGATCTTGAGGATTTGCGGCGGGTTGCGAGGGAATTGGGGGAGACGGGGTTGGAGGAGGAGGAGCTACGGGCGATGATTGAGGAGTTTGATTTAGAAGGTGTCGGTGGTGTTACAAGGGATGCGTTTGTGAGTATTTGCTGGCAATGATGATTGTGCCGCTATCTGCTTGTATATGCTTCTTCTCTCATGCTTGCTCTCGTTCTCTTTTTGAGTAATGAAACATTTTACTGTCCTCCATGATCTCTTCACCAGATACAGAGACAATCGATGGGCGTGTCACGTTCTTGAAGTAGCTTCATGTCATCGACATACTCGTCCTCGTTGACAAGTGCAAAGAGGTCATTTGGTTGAACATGCTTCAATATTAGAATTGGGTCAATCTTTAAAAAAAAACATTCAAACGACGGCAAGTGATATTTCGTGTCAATCAGCCTGATCCACGCGCTACAGCACCTAGGACATGTTTTTCACTCAAAGCAACAGTGGCAGTACTACGCATTTCCTACCTGTACATTTGTATCCTGGAGAATCGAGCAAGTCTGTTACTTTCTGTCATCAACGCATCTTACCCTCAAGCCTCAGCCAACATGGTTTTAACCGGCCTCCCCTCTGAATTGATTATTATCATTGCGGACTTCCTCGAACCCAAAGACCTCAATGCTCTCGTCCAAACCGCCAGCTCCTTTGCAAACCTGCTTGGCCTTCGTCTCCTAGACCGTGGCCTTGCTGACCCCAAGCTGGAGATACTCCTGTGGGCTGCTGCGAAAGGTGACGAGGCAATAATCAGCAAGATACTCACACGCGCACAGCACAAACGAATCAACATCCCTCCCCAGGCCAAAGACAGCATGCTCATGACCGCCGTGTCGCATAACCGAGTTGACCTTCTTGAATACCTCGTTCGGACAGTTGGCGCCAATCTCTCTGCCATGGTACCTCATAAATATTCGCTATCGCCAAGGACAGCATTGCATGAAGCCGCTGAACAAGCGAACAAAGTCGTGACGCAAAAGTTGATCGATCTAGGAGCAGACGTGGATGCCATTGACACTGGGGGCCTATCCCCGCTGCATTACGCGGTTTGGAAGCCTGAACGCGAAGACGCCTCCGCCGGTGAGGCCTGGGATACGGACGAAGAATTAGAGTACGGTGTGAACTCGATAGCCATTCTACGATTGCTTTTGGGGCACAGGGCCCTGACCGAAGTGGCCGAGCCCGATCGACGGCAGACCCCCTTGCTCTGGGCTAGTATTGATGGAAACACCGAGGCCATAAGACTGCTTTTGGATCATGGAGCTGATATAACGGCAAGTGATGACGAGGGCTGCACAACTTTACACTTTTCAGCAGAGTCTGGAAACCACGAGGCAGTCCAGCTGCTTGTCGATAAGGGAGCTGATATATTCGCCATCGATCACAGCGCTTATACCCCGCTTGACCTCGCAGCATCCGCGACGGTACGGAAAATACTGAGAAAAGCGGGTGCTCTGACGGGTGCTCTGACGGGTCCTGAGCTAGGACGCGAGCTGGAAAGTCTTTGAAGTGATCCCGGTCCCAAAGAGGAGTTACAGCTTCCACTGAGTGATCCGCTTCTGTATGCGCAGCATCCCCGTTGGTATATGGATCTCACAGAGCGTGGCCTTTACGAAGCGGTCGTCTTGCTGCTCGAGGGAGGGAGCGATACCAACGCCAGGGTGTTTACTGGATCGGGGGCCTTCTTGATATAGTTGAGAACAATTGTTTTGATCGGATTTCGGAAACTCTCCAAGGCCAACGGCGCACTTACGCGGTTTGTGGCATAGCCTACGCCACTGGGTGGGAATGGGAATGATATGATCCTATTCTTAGGCAGTGACAGTATATTCGGCTGGTGCAATCTCTCAAAGAAGGAGCTGCAATGTCACAAGCGGAGTGATCTTATAGTCCGCGATACGGCGAGATATTGAGGAGGAAAAAATATTCCTCCATTGTCAATGATGCAAGCAGAGGAAACAGGATTTGGGGAAATCCCCTCATATCAACAAAATACATCTAGTAGCTTAGGGAATGCTAGTTGCTTATTTCAGCTGTAGATGAAGCCACCATGGACCGAAGTTGTAAACGTCAATGTTTTAGGATGCCGATGATGGCAGCAATACACATATAAGGCTAACCGCATCTGCCCGCAACGCGGTTTACAATTCTCTTAGAAAAGCGCAGATATATGCAAGTAAAACCAACCAAATCTAACTATGAAATCAGATATGTAAACAGGTCTGACATCTAATACGCCCACGAAAAGTCACCAGAGCCCTATGATCCCAGTTGCCTCAATCCAGACCATATATAAAGTCTCTCTAACTCCAAATCATATACAACCGGATATAAATGATCGTGTTATGCAAGTGCTGCGGGAATCAATCCCGCGTGAACTATGACGGCGAAAAGAAAAAGATCAGGCATATCGTGTTGCTGGCTGGTACGGTCCGGGGTAAGGGGGTGGCGGCTCAGCCCGGAGACCTTGGTATCCTCTATTGGGCGCAGCCCATTGTCCCATCTGAGGTGGCGGTGGTGGCACAGGGCCTGGCCAAGGCCGCATCGGTGGCCGTTTGACGACCGTTCGTGGCCGGCGACAGCGGTTGATCAGACACCAGAGAATTGAGAGGACAAGCAAGCCGCCAACACCGCATGCGACGCCAATGACGAGATTCTTGTGTTCCTCGATCCAGGACCCGATGTTGGAGCCGTCGCAGCGCCCGTTGTGGCAGTAACCCCCGCTACCGCAGGGGGTGCCATCGAGGAAGTTCTGGTTTATACTGTAGCATGAACCCAGGGACGGTGATGTACAGATCAATTCGCATGACGAATCGAATTGCGGGCATGCGTACGTGTTATTGTCGTGGATCAAACTTCCCATGAGGGTCCGGCATTGATAGTCACGGCTGGTGCATTGGCCACTGGCGCAGGTCAGGCCAGAGTTATTACCACATTTCTCGCCGTCCTTCTTGAACGAATCCGAAGGACAGGTGCTTGAATTGCCAGTGCAGGTCTCTTGCAGATCACATTCCCCGCGACTAGCTCGGCAGACGGTCCCGGCGGCGGAGAAGTGACACTGCGAACAGCAGCTGTCGTTGGCATCGTCGCACACGGCTCCACTCTTGAATTTGCAGGTTTTGGCGTCGCAGCAGGGGTTGTTGCCGCAGGACGACTCACCGCCGCAGTCACAGTCTTCGCCGGCTTCAACAATACCGTTGCCGCATTGGCTGCCGGTGTAGGTGACGACGTTGCGATTATCAGACAGACAGCTGGACTTGACACTGTTGCGACCCAATGCAGAGCAAATGTTTCCAATTGTGCAGGGTGAGAACGCCGTGATATCTGTTCCAGTACTCGGGTTCATGATGTACTTTCCATTGGCATCACATCCCCCCTTGCTGTACGGACAGCATTGAGAGGATGCCGCCAAGTTCTGCGCACAGGTCATACTGTCGCAGTCATGCACCGCTCCGAAGGTGTGACCCGACTCATGTGCAAAGACCTGCCATCCACCACCCGAGACGCGGACGACAACGTTGGCCCCGGATACCGAGCTGCTGCCATCACTGGTAACTTCTGCATTGCAGAGTTGTCCAAGCCATGCCAAACCCACCTCACTGCCGGTAGGGCAATTGCTCATGAGGGTCCAGTAAGCATTGCCATCGTTCTGTTGTCCACGCCACTGGGAGAAAAGGTTGAGCCGCTGAGTGATGTTGCTTTGATCACATGGCATGTTCCATTGCGTCGAAGCCGGTGCAGTCTGCGGACATGTCTTGTCGGTTATGGTGAGATTCCGCAGGCCGATGGAAATATTGAACGACTTTTCATAGACGTCCGAGGCACTGTTGACCACGTTAACGATCCATTGCTTGGCAGCGTCGTCATTGTCGAACGAAGCCCTGAATGAACAATCTGCCGCGATGCCGACCAAGGCTACTTGTTTGGTCTTGGGACACCCGGACGTGCTACCGATGGTTTGGGCCAGGTTAACACCACCCGCATTTCCTGAAACACCGCCAATATCCGACTGCCGTTTGCTGAGGCCAAACAACGAGTTCAGCGGCATGGAACCATAGCTGCTCATACCCAAGTCCATGTCTTGAAACTCGGAGCGGAAGATCGGATGCTGCGGGTCACTGTTAAAGCCGAGCTTGTCGGCCTGGCAGGACGACGAGCTGACCAAAGAACGCTTCAACTCATTGCGGACCTGTCGCATCATATCGGAGTCACGGTACACAACCATATATTCGTCCTTTCGGTCGGGAATGCTGGCATCTTCGACGCGCTTCTTCTGCAGGTAAGTTGACTTGAGTTCAACGTGATGGTTGTCATTGTCGACACTGAAAACGCCTTCGAACAATGGTTCGGAACCGTCCCGTTGGACATATATCCGTGCCCATCCCACAGGCCTCCACAGACCATTGTCTCTCCTCAGCAGAGATTGCCCCTTGAAAACCTTGTGTTCATGTCGTTGGATGGGCTCCTCACGACGAATGTTTCCCTCCGCGTCAAGGTACTGCACGTATGCATCATCGGCTAGGATATCATGATTGGGTTCTAATTCTAATTTTATTGTTTGGCGTTTATCTGGAAGTTCGAATGTGACGTCGAAATCTGTAAGGTGGTCGACCTCATGAGAGGGTGTGTTGATTACCGCATGTTCAAGTATCGAGACATGTTGAATGGCACTAGGTTCTTGCGATCGGGCTGCACGACATTGATGATAAGTTAGCTATCTTTGATGAAGTCTCGTCGAAGAAGTAATGCGAACTAACCTCCAACCTGAACAGATAAGAGTGAAAGTGCACTTGCAACAAATGGCAGAGCACTTTTGAGAAACCTCATCTCCGTCGACAACTGGACGGAACCCCTAGACTCCAATCAAGCAGGCTGTGGAACGTAACCTTCTCCGAATATTCTTTCAATCTCTCAAGGGGTTCGAATGATTAATACTGGCATCAGGCAACAATATAAAAGAATGACCGAGGAAGTAAGATGAAACAATGTCTTAGGACTTGGTCCGATCAGTCGAGAACATCAACACAGAGATATGCACCCTGCAAGAATCGCTCGTTGTCTATGAAAAGGGAGAAAGCGATCAATTCAGTATCGACGGAAAGACGACTGATTGATGCTCACAGTCTGAGACACTTAATTCACCCTTTGATGGAACAATGGCTGACAAGAAGCCTCCACTAGGATAAGACTAATAGGGATGACGGTCGCTGGGCGCCAGGCAGATCCGTTTTACTGGGGCGCAGCGGCTTGGCGGTACCGAAGTTGACGAAAGAAATGCCGGAGAAGCGAATGACTGAATTATGCAGAGAGATGAATTGGGGTCTGATCAAATACGCAGTAGCAGGGTGAGAAGGTCAGGAGGAGAGGTTGCGGAGGGGCGCGGTAAAGGTAGAGCGAAGATTCCTGATGCAACAAAGGGTCTTCAGGGTCTTGTAAGAAACTGTTGAGAGGATCAATGCCATTGCCATCGATAGTGCTCCGTAATCATGGAGGATAATTAAGCGGCTTATTAATCGTCATCTGAATACATTTCTGTAAGCACAATCCGGATACATCGTTAAGTCTTATTGATGGAGCATTAAGATGGCGAATGGCCGTTGTGCATTCCGTCGTCCAAGACAACCCTCCACCATAACAAGGACCGAATGATCACTGCCAAGAACCATCGGCGCCTGTGGCTGATGTCCTGTGGGCCATTTTTAATTCAAACATACGTATGCCTATCTTACCAGATTGAGTTAGAACGGAAGGTTAGGAAGCACTGCTATTGCGAAGCATATCTCCCCTCTGAGGGATTTGCATGGTTTGCGTTGGATAAAGTGGTGACAGGGCTATCAGACATAATGTTGGTAACAAAGCAAAATAGAAAATGGATAGGTATCAAGGCTACAGTTGTGATCATAAAAAGATTCAATCACACGTTCGAAACTTAGAAACGTGGTACCTAATGGACATAACCCAAGGTTCTCAATCATCCGGTGCGGTGTGGTATGTCTCATGAGCAAGCATGGCAAAATGTGGTATCAACATCCCGCAAATTGTACAGGCAACACACGGCGTATCGCCATCTTCGTCGCTCTCCTCCCAAGTATCGTTGGCTCTGGTGGACCAGGTGGAATCAAACGTCTTCGAATCCATGTCTGCCTGAGCAATGCCACTGAAGGTAATCTTCTCCAGCTCTGGCGTAGGATCATCCTGCTGCATCGCTTCCTGTTTACGGAACATCTTCCCAATATCTCGACCGCTGCTGTTCTTCTGGTCACCAGCACTTTCTATCATATTAGTCACGGCAATATTCAGAACACGGAGGTTCCAACCCGAGTGTTCAGGGTGAAGCTTGCGGAACATGGACATCGCCAGGTCCTGCACAAGTCGCTCTGCCAAAGCATCCACGTTCTCATCGAGATTGAAGACGTAGGATGGAAGAGGCGCGGAACGAGATATCCGGTTGAGACCATGGCGTTCTGACTGGTCGGAGCCTGGAGATAGGCGAGGACACGTCGAGAGA